ATGACTGTCCACACCAAGGCCAACAGTATCAGATTGAAGGTGCTGTGATTTTCATGGTTCCTCTCAGTTACATGCAGGTTTTGACTGATGTAGGTGATGACCCTTTCCTGGCCACCTTGTAATTGTGATAGTACAGCCCCCAGACCTTGTATACTGGCATTGATTCTAGGCTGGAATAAAAAAGAGGAATCACCAAAGCTCAGCTTTCAAGTCAACGTCAGCTCCAGCTTCAAAAGCCAGATGCCTCCTTTTCTTGCCATCCCCTTTGCACTTTCATGTGTCCCTCCTTCTGGCCTATCCTATGTTGGAGCTTTTGAATCAGGGCAGAGTAATGAGAATAGTGCATAATGAAATGCCATGGTTCTGAACACTTATCTAATAGGCACCTTACTGACTGAGTGGGTGTTAGTTCCTTGGTGATCAGATGTAGGAGTGGCAATATTTGCTCTCCTGCCCACTCTTGGTTGGTTTCTTTCCACCACTGGATGTATGTAGAGATGACCATTAAACTCTCAGAGCTCTGTGTGTATCACCTTGGAGACAACAAGATCCATGATTAGGACCAGTCCTGCCACATGGAGAGGGTGGAGGGAGTGGGTGGAGTGTAACAGTCTTGCTGTTAGGGATTCTAAATAGTACCATACCTTGCCAGACCAGTGTCCTGGTGACCTACTAGCACAGGTCCTGGTGAAAAATGGAGCCACTTCTGAAGACAGAAAGGAAAGGGAACCTCGACAGCCAGATTTTGATCAGATTCTACAAAGCATGCATCAGGGTTCTGCAGTGCTTCCAGGGCTTGCAACAGTTGCCTGATTTCCTTAGGTGGGCACAAGTGTGCAGGATTTCCCTTCAGCATCTTAGCCCTCAGTACCCATAAGTTACTCATGCTCAGTATCACCTGTAGGCAGCCCACCCAGGAGTGTGCATAATCAGAATGCACTTCTGCCCTCTGTCCTGCCTTACAGCTTCACTTTTATCCAGGTAACCTTGACTACTTTTATAAGAAGCTCCTTAGCAGCTGTCAATAAGATTCATGGCATGTCCACACTCATCTTCTTCAGAAGGCATCACTGGAACACAGTTCTGACAGGGTAGTGACTTGTGAGCTGATATCAAAGAGACAATCAATATCTTGGCCATTGAAGCATCCAAGCACAACAAAATGGTCATCACATCTTCCATTGCTAGATAGGGAGTCATTCCCTATGCCATGCTACTGCTTGACTCTATGTATGGTTTAGTCAGTCTCCTCTGGCAATGGCCAAACTCTTGACACTAGGATGGTGACCTTGTCCACCTTGGGAATTACCTCCTTGTCCCTCAGAGGGGTATTCCTGTCCATAATAACTGGAGCTGAGCCACCCCTTCTGTAATTTTCTGGTTGGCTATCTCTAATGGAACTGTCTGGTTGCAGCTGGGACTATTAATTTCCCACCTTCCATGATCATGGATGCATTCGAGTCTGTATGCCTATGCTTCTGACACACTATGGCCACTCTAACAGTTTGAGGAACTTCAAGTTTTGCTTATTTCTATCTTTCTTACAAGGTTTCTCTACCCTATTGGACAATAGTCCATCTACAAATTGTTCCTTCAGCTATCCAGCCTTATCATCCCAGCTGGGTTGTCCTACTTGGTCCATTTGCTTACAGTGTATCTCTGCTGCTATGTCTCACTGTGCATAATTTTGAATCGATTCCCCGTTAACAGCTTTCTGTCAGTGAAGTGGACCTGAGTTCCCCTAATGTTACCTCTTGACCATACACCACGTCTAAGTGCTTAACTGTCTTGTCAAGAAAATTCTGCCTTCCACTGGTAGGTGCAGGATTAACATCTTTGTTTCCCCCTCTAGGGTATCAATAATCAATTCTGCATGCTGAGCTTGTGGCATCCCATACATTTAAATCAGGTCTTGCAATCTCTTGACCCAATCACCTGTGTCCAGACTTGGACATGTGTATTTGGGTAATTGTTGCAACAGGAGCCCAGCCAAGAATAAAGGAGTAATTATTGTGGTAGTAGATTCACTGCTTCCCTCTGCAGTAGTACTACTGGACTCTGCTGTCACACCACTCCTATAATCATTGTTTATCACTGTTGATCCTGTTCATAGATGCCAAGTTTAAAGATCAACAAGGGACTTATATGAAATCCACCCTTGCTGTGTTTCACTGCAAGAGTTAACTGCTCATTCAGTTTAAAGGTGCAGGAAATTCCTCATTCCAGCAAGGTTCCTACAGTAGTGAAGCCTCCTATCTAAGGCTCCTGCCTCATCCATGTACAATGCAGGGTTAACAGCTCTGCACTGTATTTGATGACACAGAGGGACTGGCCACAGGCTAGAGAGATGGAGGAAAAGTATAAGAGCGCTGAAGCCACCCAGGGCAGCAGTAAGGTAAGTATTACAGCCTTTTCAACTCCACCTAACCTTAACAAGCATTTAATCCTAGGAGTACAGGATGGGGGGGGGGGGGGTGCACTGCAAGTTTTTCTGGAGTTGAGTTGTAACAGAATAGGTAATCAGTTGAATGATCAGCTAGGGAGTAAATGTAACTTGCAGTTTATTAAAGATGCAAGTTTAGAAGCAATAATGCAAAAAACAGGTTCAGGGTGGAAAAAACATTCATACACTGCAGAATAAAGCTTCTGAAAGCTGCCTAACATTGACTCTTCACAACAATGTCTCTGTGACTCAACAGAGTCACAGAGACATTGTTGTGAAGAGTCAATGCAGTAACATATGGCTGCATAGCATTGACTCTACAATACTGGACAGAGAGTCTAGCTGAGAATCACTACTTCAGTGAAAAAGTACAAAACACAGCTACTTGTGATTATTCTCATAAACATCACCCCTTACAATAAAGTCCATGGTAGATCTGGTAACACTGGAGAACAGCTGGAGGGATCCAAGGCCCAAGGACAAAGGTCCACTCCACTGGTACTGTAGTACTCTGGTAGCATTCAGGGAGGCCACTCACCATAGGTAAGTCTTCTGGAGGAGCTGTATGCTGTTAGGCTCCTGTCCTGCTGCTTGTATGATGGTTCTAACAGTGTAATGTATCTCACTTGCAGATCATTTGCCAAGCTACCTTTGCTTTATCAGGTGTGGCCTCTCTAAGCTGCTGACGGATGGAAGCTGAGGATATTATACTCCATGTGCATGTTCAAGAACCTAGAGTTGTGGGAAATGGAAGTAAATGGGCCTGAGCCTTCATCTGAACATAAAGAGTAAACTCCACACTTCTACATGCACAAAATATGTTTATTTACACCTGTTTTAATTATTTTTTAATGGTATTTTCCAAGAACTTAAATATACCTACCTTTGTTAAAAGCTCAGCTAGAAATATGAAAATAGTTCTCCAAAATAATTGAAAAAAAATTGCAGTATGTTAAACAGGCTGTTTTTTTTAATTCTTCATAACTGCCTAAATGGCCATAAACAATATTCACACAAGACCAGAGATTACATCAAATCCTCCAGGTTCCTAAGGTAAAGACAAAATGTTCACTAAGGGACTTTTCTTCAAAAGCATTTCCCCACAGGCACATGCTGAGAAATGAACCCTTTGAAAATGAGGCCCAATATATCTCTCATCTGGTTACTTTTTTTCTCCCGTTGAAGTTCTGCAATCCTGTTTGAACCACAACATCCCCCCAAGGAATGGACTGTTAAGACACAAGAACTCAAGTGGAAGTGTTAGGCCACTAGCTAATGAGTGCAACTGAAAACGAGAGCAGGTGATAAATTTAATTACATCTGGATATGACTTTAAGTTCCACGTTCATTGACTGATGTCATTTTCCATCAAAATAATGAGAAGTAAGTCTCTGTACTACTAGGCATATGTACCAGAAAAGTGGAGATATGCAATATTAAATTTATTACACATGTGAAAATGGAGCTTCAGCAGTGAAACTAGTAATACATGAAAATTAACAGCTTTCCTGATCTGAACTCTTGTTTCTCATGCTCTTCAAATTTTAGTGGGGTTATTCGTATGTTGTTTGCACCCTAGGGATTAACATCTGTGTAAATGTAATATTGTAACAGGACCACGCTGATGAATTCAGGAATTGTTCTCTGAGACATTAGCTGCCACATTTCCTTGGACCGATCTTTGTTGCAGGTGCACTGACCACACACTAATTGGACGGATTATTTTCATAACTTTCTGTGTAGTCTGCAAGGTCCTCCGAAAAAAAAGCAGAATTGTTTAAAACAGCTGTTTTGTGCTGTGTTTTTACAAATTCTCCAAATTAAACAACGCAATAAGAGGTGTTTTAGTGTTTATTTTAAATCAAGTAAAATGTCCAGTATTTGCAACAATTTGCTTTTTTTTTTTTTTTTTTTTTTTTAATAGAAAGAGTTATTCGATTCACGTGTCTTAATTCAGCACTAAAAGCCACCAGCTATTAAAAACATCTGCTTTTTATGTCCAAGACATAGGACTAAATTCCTAAGCAGATTAATGAAAGCACCCAATTAAAACTGCTAAGTTAGAATAAAAGCTAAAAGCTAATTGTGGAAAAAGCACACTTAGACCTCTGATAATTTAATGTGTTCAATGGATATACATTTTAAGTTGTCTTCATAAAAATTACATTTAACTTAAATGTTATATGCATTTTTTAATCTCTGTACGTTTATTCACAGATTTAGAATTACTTTCTAGTGATCATCTGCTGTATATGCTTGCTGAAATAATTTCAATAAAAAGGTAAGCAGCATATAGAATGTTTTGTTAAAAAGTCTAGGCAGACTGATAAACTCATAAAGCACAATAACAGAACTGAGCAGAAATATAACTATAATGCAATAATATTTACTAAGTACAAATAGGATTTGCAAAATAATAAAACACCTAGGAGTACTTACCTTTGCATGCATGATATTTCATATATTGCAATTTTGGTCATAGCCCTTGAACATAAGATAATGTAGTTTTGTTAGCTTAACCTCCTTGGCGGTATTTCCGAGTGTAGCTCGGGGTAAAATTTCAGTACCAAGAGCGGTAACCCCGAGCTACACTCGGGCTTACCATGCAGCGTTGCTCAGGGAGTCCCTGCAGCACTTACCTTGTCCTTCGCTCCCGCGATGTGTCCCCTGCAGCGTCCCCGGCCATCTCCTCCGGCCCGATGCCGGCATCCGTCTTCCGTGTTCCAGTCCCTGTGACGTCGGGACGTACGGGCGCCGGAACCGGCGGCAAATTTGAAATTTTTAAAAAATGTAATTTTTTAAAAAATTATTATTATATAGTAAAACATTGCTGTTTCAATGCATTTCACATATATTTTGTCCCTACTGCTTTGTCCTGTGCCCTGTCTGCATTTTGACTGTTCTTTCTGCCTGGAAACTTAGAAAAGTCCATGGCTTCCAAAAAGCGTCCCTTTATGTCAAAAGCAGTTTTAGATCAGCTAGAGAACAGCGATAGTAAATCAGAACCACTTGCAGAATTGAGTGATAATGATCTGTGGTGAAATTCGTCATCAGACACTGAAAACGATTTTGCGACTTTGCTCAGCGATGTGCGAATTTGCCTCTGTATTTCAAATTTCAGTATTTTTGGTTTGATTATATTATTGAATTAAAATATATTATTATTATATTATTATTTTTTATGATTATTTATTAAATTATAATTTATGATTTCGTGTTTCAAGTTTTATCATACCCGGGATGTTTACTAGACTCTTGTTCGGACAGATTTCAGTGAGTTATTCCTAAAAATTACAGCCTACAATAAAAAACTACATATTTCCATGCAAAAAATGGTACCGCTTTCAGCACAAAAAATCGGAAATAATCATACCGCCAAGGAGGTTAAGATCCATGGGAAAAATAATTTAACTTCAAATTCAAGATCCATTTGGACAGCTGGATGGTGCAATATGTAGAATGAACAGTGGAGTGGAGATTGAGCTTGTTAAGTGTGTTAGCTTTAAGTTGTTCCAGTTAGCTTGTTTTAAAGATCCTTGAGAATCTTTCACTGGTCCCTTAAAATATTTTCTTGATATTGCTATTTGATCTGTATTTATGTAACATACTAAAATGTAAGGTCTGTGCTCTTTTTTAATTTCAGCAATAGGTTACATCTTTTTTTACAATTATTATGTGGCATGACAGCACCTGCCAACTCTGTAAGCTCTGCCTTATTCGTTTCAGTGGTGATGACATGCACTGTAAACAGATAGGCAGCCCTGAAGTCATCCATCCCTAAAATATATCTTTTGCATCCCCAGGGCAGGTGGAATCTGAGACCATATAAGTGAGTATTTAAATCATTATTGCACAGATGGAACAACTGGTATCACTAACAATTCTCTTTGTTTTAATTTCATACACTGGTATAGCAGGATTGAATTCTTGCACCAGGATACAGTATTTTTTCTGTGTTATGTTGAACTGCATCAGGTTATTATTGTTCTGTAGTATGCTAAAATCTAGTGGTGGTTTAGAGTCACTACATGTTGTTTACATATGTGATTTGGTATCTCCCTATGTCCTCCTCTCCTGTTTAGTCCTGGTTAGTTCAGTCCTACCTAAACCTTAGCTGTTTCTTCCATGTTTCCTAAGTCAGTGTTAGCGCTCTGCAAAGACATGGCTCAGGAAAGTCATTGTCTTCTTAACAAAAAAATCTTCTATACTGCAATTAGCTGAAGTAAAATAGTGTTGGATTCAACTTCTATGTCATATTCAATCTCTCCCTCTCTACTGGCGTATTCCCCTCCCCCCTAAAGCACGCGCATATCACCCCCATCCTCAAAAAGCCCTCCCTGGATCCCGCGGACCCCAACAACCTCAGACCCATCTCCCTGCTGCCACTCACCTCCAAGCTCCTTGAACGCATAGTCTCAACGATCGCCTAAGCGCCCACCTTACAGACAATAACCTCCTTGACCCTCTACAGTCCGGCTTCCGTCCCCTACACTCCACTGAAACTGCCCTCCTCAAAATCACTAACGACCTACTCAACGCCAAAGCCAAGGGCGACTACTCTGTCCTCCTTCTCCTGGACCTCTCTGCGGCCTTCGACACAGTTGACCACCCCCTCCTCCTTAATAAACTACTCTCCCTTGGCATCGGAGATACTGCTCTCTCTTGGTTCTCATCCTACCTATCCCGACGCTCCTTCAGTGTCACCTACAATGGTGCCACCTCCCCCTCCCTCCCCCTCTCTGTGTTGGGGTCCCCCAAGGCTCTGTCCTTGGACCCCTTCTCTTCTCCATCTACACCTCCTCCCTGGTCAAACTCATACAATCTCACGACTTCAACTATCACCTCTATGCTGACGACACCCAAATCTACCTCTCCACCCCTCACCTCACCCCCACTATCTCCGCCCGCATCACTCACCTCCTAAATGACATCTCAGACTGGATGTCGCTACATTTCCTCAAGCTCAACCTCTCCAAAACCGAGCTCCTCATCTTTCCCCCTGCCAACACCCCCTCCCCCATCCTATCCATCATCACCAACAACTCCACTATCACACCCGCCCCGCAAGCCAAAGTCCTTGGCGTCATTCTTGACGCGAACCTCTCCCTCCAACCGCATGTCAAATCACTCACAAACACATGCAGGCTCCATCTTCGCAACATTGCCAAGATACGCTCCTTCCTCACCCCAGACACCACCAAACTTCTAGTACACTCCCTCATCATCTCACGCCTTGACTACTGCAACTCCCTCCTCACTGGCCTACCCAAGTGCAGGCTCTCCCCGCTCCAGACCATCCTGAACTCAGCTGCCAGACTCATCCACCTCACCACCCGCTCCACCTCTGCCCCCCCCTCTGCCTCTCCCTCCACTGGCTCCCGATTGCCCAACGCATCAAATTTAAACTCCTAACCCTGACCTACAAAGCCGTTCACAACACTGCCCCTGACTACCTCACCAACCTGATCACCAAGTACCACCCTACCCGTACCCTTCGCTCCTCACAGGACCTCCTTCTATCCTGCTCCCTGGTCTCCTCCTCCCATGCACGACTGCAGGACTTCTCCAGGTCCTCCCCCATCCTCTGGAACTCACTGCCCCAATCCATCAGACTGTCGCCTTCCCTATTCACATTCAGGCGCTCCCTCAAAACCCATCTCTTCAGGGAAGCCTACCCCACCCTCACCTAACGGCCATCCTCCCTCATTCCTCCCACCACTTCATCCCCCTCAGCCACTTCCTACTGTACCTTTACCCCCTCCCTCCTAGATTGTAAGCTCGTAAGAGTAGGGCCCTCTTACCCCTCGTACGTTGTTTGTTGTTGTTGTACTGTGCCATGTATTGTCCCCCCTATTGTACAACGCTGAGCAAACCCTTTGGCGCTATATAAACTCGTAGTAATAATAATAATAATAATAATATTGAAGAGTTAAGTTGCCCATGGATGGTGACAACTCAGCAACTGACAATACTGTCCAGACAGACAGGATCTAAGAAGGTATGTCACTGCATAAAGTAGCATTTGAAACAACAGAGTTTATAGGCTCCTAGTACCTTCTGCACAGTTCAATATTCCATATGCTTAGTTCTTTGAAAGAACCGCTCTGATACTCAAGGAATAGACATTTAGCTATATCAATTTTATGATGACTGATGGATTTGTGTTCAGTAATTCAGTATCAATTATTTTTTTTACCTCTTGCAAATAGGTTTATTAGAATCCTTTGGCATTGACACAAGTCATCCAGGCATCAGAAGATATGATACATAAAAGTGACCATAGACATTAGAGGACAGTCAGACAAACAGGCATCCTTAACTTCACTCAGATGTGTTCCTGGTTATGTTCTGGTCTGTTGTAAATCATTTTCTAAACATATCTTCCAAAACCATTGTATTGTGCAACCTGCTGTATACCCCTGCACTTCCACTTTGTGCAAGGCAATATACGTAGCTGTGGGTGTATGTCTCAAAACTATCATGATTTTGGGGAGTACTGGTGTGGCTGTAGATAATTTGTGGATGTCAGGCTAAACATAAAGCTGCTCTGAGCATGTGCATGTAATCTTGTAGTCAACAGCAGGAGTGCACATCCTAGAGCTACTTACAGTAGGTGACCTTTACCACAGGAAAGGAAGTTCCCAGAAAAGGTCATACAGGCAGGATCACCAGCCACAAACAGAAGACCTTAAATTCTGTAGTAAAAAACAGATCAATACAAGAGCTACCATTATTAAGCTAAACGTAAAGCTGCTCTGTGAATGTGCATGTAAGCTTGTCAGCATCAGGAGAGTGCATCCTAGAGTTACTTAGAGAAGTGGGCTCTAGGTCTGATTTAGGGTCTGAAGGTGCAGAGATTGGGTTTGATTTGAGAGAACTTATTAGGGTGACCACTGTCACCTCACACTTCATTTCCAACTGTATATTTTGCAAAGTCCTCAGCTGACATATTCATTTCAACCTTACATTATTTGCCTCACAGCACATGTGTTCTGGAAAAGGGCTAAGTTACCATCTACCATCCTTGAAAACCCAATATTTTCTTTCTGTTATTTAAATGGTTTACAGCATTTAGTGTATAAAAATTCCTTTTTGTGATCGAGTGTGTAAAGTTGACATTTTTTTATATATAACTGGCGCTCTCAATTTCGTCAAAAACATTTTTTGGCACACCATGCTCAAAAGGTTGCCTACCCCTGATATAAAGACTACTTAATGTTTTAAAAAACATGTTGATTTTCTTCAAAAAGTTGTACTATCTGGTTTAAGTACTGATAGGTTAAATCTTCCAACTGAATTTCCTTAAGCAATTTGTTCCAAACTTGCGACCTTCATTTTTCTACTTTTCTTCCCTCACCTCAATGGTCACTATTAACTGATGTTGTTTGGAATTCATGTTACCCTCACCAATAATGGCTCCTCCTTAACAGGAAGTAATTCTAAAATCTTGGCAATTTTTTTAGTTTTGTTTTCTACAGACACATTCTAAGTCATGCTTAATCTCTTTGATTGACAGTACTTAGTTGGAAATAGACCACCCAGGATTACAGAGAGAGACATACCAACACAGCAGCAGACTTTCCAAAGCTCATCATGTACCAAAAATAAAGGTTTTACTCTTGCTTTACTTGAATAACTCATCCTTTCTTCTGATAACATTTTTGTAATATTTTCTAATATTATGCTGCTTCAGTTCTATAAACATATCTCCAAAATAGTGTGTTTTGCCACATAATGAGGGATGAGAAACTGGAACTAGAGCACGACTGCGGGAAACACTTTGGAGAGTTCAGTAGTGTAAAAAGGAAGGAAAACACTGATAAAAAAGACATTCATCCAAAAGGAACTCTTACTACACCTATATACAGGAAATATATTTAAAATAACACACCAGTGGTATGGTGTTA